TTTTTTTTTTTTTTGAGAGGGCATCTCTCATATTTATTGATCAAATGGTTGTTAACAACAATAAAATTCAGTATAGGGGGGTCAATGCTCAATGTACAATCATTAATCCATCTCAAGCCTAATTCTCGTCAGTCTCCAATCTTCTGAAGCATAACGAACAAGTTCTTACATGGTGAACGAATTCTTACAGAGTGAATAAATTCTTACATGGTGAACAGTACAAGGGCATTCATCACAGAAACTTTCGGTTTTGATCATGCAATATGACCTATAAACCATCAGGTCAAATATGAATATTCATTTGATTTTTGTACTTGATTTATATGTTGATCCCACATTTCTCCTATTATTATTATTATTTTTATTTTTAATAAAATGCTGAAGTGGTAGGTAGATGCAAGATAAAGGTAGAAAACATAGTTTAGTGCTGTAAGAAGGCAAATGTAGATGATCAGATGATCAGGTGTGTGCCTATGGACTAAGTATTAATCCAGGCTAGACAAGGGCAGCAAGACATCCACGGATGCAGAAGATTTCTCTCAAAGCAGGGGGGGTGAGGTTCTGAGCCTCACCTCTGTTGATCCCCAAATTCTCACCTGATGGCCCCCCTGCGACTGTGCCTGTCTTAGGTTGTTCCTCCCTTGAGGAATCTTACCCGTCTCTGGCTAACCAGTCATCTTCCGGGGCCATACAGGGAAATGTAAAGTTGGTAAGTGAGAGAGAAGCCATATTGTTTGCAAAGGTTAGCTTTTTACTTCTTTGCAGATTTATGCCCTGTGGCTTCTATGCCCAGCACTTGTCTCGAGGTATCTTTACCACCTGGAGGAATTATGATACTCGGTAAATTCGATATGGGGCACGAATTCTATTTAAGGGTTGTAATTAGGAAGGAAGAAGAAAAGCTATAGAGGTAGCATATGGAAGAAAACATGGGAAGATTGATTATTTCTTTGACATATCTTCTTGTATCAAATGTAAACTTTTTATTGAAGCATAACACAGAAAAACCCATAAGTCACAAGCTCTATAAATTCCTATAAAGTGAAGACACCCGTGTAACCAGCACCCGAGCAAGAGAGAGAACATTGCCAAGCCCCCAAGGCCCCTCCTGCCCCTTCCAGTTACAGCGCCCTCTGTAATGGGGCCATTACCTTGACGTCTAACTCATGGATTAGTTTTGCCAGCCTTTGAACTTCATGTGAATGGAATCATGTAATCTGCATTTAGTGTCCGTAGCAGACCTCTTCCATCGTGGCTTATGTCCATGAACTAGGGAAGCCAAGCGCCCCTGTAGACCTGAGCACAGCGCCAGGGGCAGGTTAGTGGGAGCATGTGTGGGACTTTTGTGGGTAAAGTGGACAGGGTTTAGGCCAAGAATAAGCTCACACCTATTTTGGGTGCTTAGACCTTCTGACCTACTTTATTCTTGGTTTTCTTGACAGAAAGGTGAGGTGCCAAATGGGGTCCAAGCAGGTGGGGTGCTCGGGCATGGTGGCTGCTGCCCATGCAGGGTCTGGGCAGTGGTGTGGGACTTGGTCACAACCGCTGAGCGCCGGGCATGGATCAGGGGTCCTCCTAGAAAAAGGAGATAGTTTACAACACGGCCGTTTTCTGCTTGCTGCCTTGGTGGGAAGACTTCACTGGTTTCTTTAATCTCCCTGCATCTCCCAGGCCTCAGGGTGGAGAAGGTGGGCCGGAGGTCTGTCCTACACAGCAGCCTTCACTTATTTTCCTTTCTTGCATTTTCCCCCTGCCAGTGCCCGTATTTATCGTCCTTTTCACCTCCTCTACTCTCTCCTTCCTGCCCCACCTCTTTCCTCTTTTCCCTTTTAATATCTTCCTTCCGCGTTCTTTTCTCCTGCCTTGGTGTTTCTGCTGTGCTCTGCCCACCACTGCCCTCTCTCTGCCCCTTTCCCTCCACCGCGCCGCGCAGTGACGCCCGGTGCTCTCTCCCTTTGCCCCCGGCAGGAGATGGGCTGGTGATGAAGATCAAGCAGGAGAAGCCAGAGTGGCAGGTGCCACAGGCCGTGCTTTCCGAGAAGGATAAGGAAAACATTTTCCAGCAGCGTCGCGGCCTCCCGCCATGCCAGACCACCGGGAAGCCTCGGGCCTTGGGGGGACAGGAGGAGACTGGGGATCCCAGGTGGGCCCCTCCCACTGAGCAGGTCGCGGGTCTGGCAGACCAGGCTCTTTCTGCCGGCGAGGGTCACTTTGTGTGCCTGGACTGCGGAAAGAGGTTCAGCTGGTGGTCGTCCCTGAAGATCCACCAGCGCACCCACACCGGGGAGAAGCCCTACCTGTGTGGCAAGTGCGGCAAGAGCTTCAGCCAGAAGCCCAACCTGGCCCGCCACCAGCGGCACCACACGGGCGAGCGGCCCTTCTGCTGCCCGGAGTGCGCGAGGCGCTTCAGCCAGAAGCAGCACCTGCTCAAGCACCAGAAGACCCACTCTCGGCCGGCCACCCACTCCTGCCCCGAGTGCGAGCGCTGCTTCCGACACCAGGTGGGCCTCCGCATCCACCAGCGCGCGCACGCGCGGGACCGCCAGGGCGCCCGCCCCGGGCTGCAGGACCTGCCCCGCGACGCTGCGGCCCGTAAGGGCTGTCGCCTGCTTCCAGGGCCGCCGCGGGGGCGTCCCGAATGGGCCTGGCTGGGGCTCTGCGAGGGCTGGTGGCGCCAGCCCGGGACGCGGACCGTAGTCCCCGCCGCCGCGGGCCCGGGCGAGCAGCGCCAGTTCATCTGCAACGAGTGCGGCAAGAGCTTCACGTGGTGGTCGGCGCTCACCATCCACCAGCGCATCCACACGGGCGAGCGGCCCTACCCGTGCCCCGAGTGCGGCCGCCGCTTCAGCCAGAAGCCCAACCTGACGCGCCACCTGCGTAACCACACGGGCGAGCGGCCGCACCCCTGCCTGCACTGCGGCCGCAGCTTCCGCCAGAAGCAGCACCTGCTCAAGCACCAGCGCACGCACCTGCCCGGCGCCCAGGCGGCCGCCTGCCCCAGCTGCGGCCAGAGCTGCTCTAGCCGCGCGGCGCTGCGCGCCCACCAGCGCGCGCACGCCGCCGCCGCCCGGCCGCGGGCCGAGGAGCCCCCGGCGCCGTCTTCGCCGCGCAGCCAGCAGCCGGCCGGCGGGCCTGGGGACGTGCAGTGGGGCCGCGCGCGTGCGGGCCTGGCCGCGCCCGGCGAGCAGCGCCAGTTCATCTGCAATGAGTGCGGCAAGAGCTTCTTGTGGTGGTCGGCGCTCACCATCCACCAGCGCATCCACACGGGCGAGCGGCCCTACCCGTGCCCCGAGTGCGGCCGCCGCTTCAGCCAGAAGCCCAACCTGACGCGCCACCGGCGCAACCACACGGGCGAGCGGCCCTACCTGTGCGCCGCTTGCGGTCGCGGCTTCAGCCAGAAGCAGCACCTGCTCAAGCACCAGCGCGTTCACCGGGGCGCCCTGGCGCCCGGTCCCAGCTCCAAGGACGGGGCGCGTTAGTGCTCCTGGACCCAGCGGCCGCGGCCAGGGCTTGTGGGGGCTGGGGAATGGCCCGGAATGGTGGCTTTCAGAGCCCCGGGGTAGACCCTGGCAAAAGGTGGATTCGGAAGGCCTCAGAACAGAATTCCAGAGGCGTCCTAAAGGGGACCCGTCAAAGGTCCCAGGGCGGGCTGAGGAGGTAAGAAGCCTCCTTACCCCGGAGCCTGGGAGTGTGGTCTGTGTACCCCCGGAGAGTGGGGGCTCGGGCCTCAGCACCCAGTGAGGGGAGGGGCTGCCAGGGCCCTGCGGGAGGCTCTCTGGAGTAGAGAGACCCAGGTCTGGGCTGCAGCTGTAGCACCAGCCTCTCACACTCAGGCTGCAGGATGTTAGGGGCCAGTCTTGGTGGGAGAGATGCAGCAGACTGGTGCCAAGGATGCAGCTGGCAGCTGTGGCTGAGGAGGAGTGAGCATATTCACAGCACCAAAGACAGTGCCTGGCAGGTAGTGGCCATTTAATTCATACACGTTTTTGGAGGGTGTAAATAGCTCGACTGTCCTGAACCATGAGTGCCCCACTGCCCAGGGTGCTGTCATGGTGGGCCCAACTGTACAACCGATATGTGTGTGACGATTGGACTGAGACCCAAAGGGTGGTCACAGCCGAGTTTGGGTAGCTTGGGGAGGGACCTGTAGCAAGAGAGAGCCCTCTGTGCCATTCCTACTCAGGTCCAGGGGCATTCCTGGTCCGTGGACCAGGTGGCTGACTGTCACTGACCTGGATCCTTGTCAATACTGGTGTTGCAGAAGAGAAAAATGAAAGATCGACTATCTCACATGGTCTCACTGTCCTTTCTGAGCTACCCTTTCCCTGGTCTGCATGTGCTCCGAGTGGTCCATTTGCTCAAGGACCAGGAACACAGAGCTTTGGCCATGAGCATAGCCACTCCCCATGCCCAGTGTCTTCTGGGAGTGGAGACTAGTATTCTCTTCCCCTCTCCCAGACAATCTGATCTCTTCCCACATACCCTCAACCTCTGCTTCCTCCCTCCACCTCCCCAATGGTCATCCCACATGCTCTCCCAAAGGAAGGTGCTGGGGCCCTGGTGCTGACAGAATGCAGGTCCAGCCTGGGCCTGTAGCCTTGGGTGGTGTGTTCCCACAGGAGGGGAGGGAATCGCAGAGAGGTGGGTGTTGGACTACCAGGGTTGGAGAGCCCAGAGGTGGGAGGACAAAGAGGGGAACCCTAGAATGATTCTGTAGTAGGATGAACTTGTACTGTCTGTCTTCCAGGGACCCACCAGCTTCTCTGAACTCAGAGAAGCGTTACCTTCCCCAGGAGCAGCCCCATTTAGCCTGGCTTCTGGGGACCCCTCTTTCTAGGACTGTTTAATCTGTTTCATCTGGCAGGAGCTCCAATTGTAGGAGCACAACAAGGCACACGGAAGTGATCCAGCTTACCTGGGCAACACAGCACTGGTGATGGCTAGTGTTCAGCTGGGGCTGTGACTCCTGGTCTAGGTCTTTCCTTACAAACCCTGGTGTATGCGGTCTCCTGCTGGGCAGGGTGTGCTGGGTCGTTACCCACCCATCTGAGAGTTCAGCACTCAGGACCAGCAGGGAGCCAAATCAGAAGGGTTTTCCTAGGCACCCACTCTGACCCATGCCTGCCCTACTTCTTTCATCTCCTGTGATGTCCTGGAACTCCTCCCCCAGCCTGCACTACTCAGGGAGGCCAAGTGCCTTGGAGCTCAGCAAAACCTACTTTAAGATGGGAAAGGTTCAGGAATCATCTGCTTCTTCCTCTTTGCCACTTAGCAAATACTGAGACACACTCAAGCAAGCCCACCTCCAACAGGAAGGCATTCCAGGCTACCATTCCTGCATTAGAGAGCTGCTGTCTGCAAGGATGGACTTGCAGAAACACTAGAGCCCTGTGGAATCAGGTCCCTGAGGGGCTTTGCAGGCAGATACTGAAGACATCAGTTGGGCAGGAGTTTCTATACAGTAAAAGGTGTTATTGTCCATAAATATGTTTAATGGTCAAGTCAATAAAACACTGTGTTGGTAGGACTTGGGGTTAATGAGGCCTAATTACAGCCTTTTACCCAGTGCAAATTCAGGAGAACACTTGTTCAGTAACCCTAGGTGACTGATCCTCTCACAAATGGGTGCTTTGGGTCGCAAAGGGGACAGGGCCCAGTCCAGTAGAGCAAAGAATGACTGAGGTGTATGCCCCATTCACCAGGTCAGAGAAGGGCACAGCACTGACTCACTGAACAAGCCCTCTGTGTATGAGGCACAGGCCAGGCTTAGGGATGTATGAGCTGCAATGAATAAGCCACTGCTAGCCAGGGCTGCCATCACAAAGACCCACAGGGGCTTGAACAGTAGACATACACTTCTCTGTCTGCAGGCTGCAAGTCCAAGATCAGGGTGCTTGGCAGACTTGGTTCCTGGTGAGGGCCCACTTCCTGGGCTTGTAGATGACCACCTTCTCTCTGTCCTCACATGGCAGGAGAGTATGTAGGAATGAGCACATGCTCTGGTGTCTCTTTAAGGACACTTATCAGGAGGACCCCACTCCCATGACCTCATCTAGACCTAATTGCCTCCCAAAGGCCCCACCTCCAAAGGCCATCACATTGGAAGTCAGGGCTTCAGTATATGGATTTCAGGGGGACATAGTCATGGACCTTCATGGAAAATCATTGTCATACACAGCTTGGACAACCTATACGGTCTGCTCTTGAACGAACTGTCCCCAGTCCTGGCTTTCTTAGCAAGGCTTTCTCACTCACTGTCTCAGCTGGTCTCACCATGAGTCAGTGACCTAGGTGGAGAAGTGATACAAGAAAGGGGGATGGGGACAGTGAACGTCCACCAGGTCATGTTACAAATTCCCGGTAGGCCTCAGGCCTCTTCCACGGTCAGTCACAGGCTTCTCCAAGGGTTACTGGCACTGTCAACTTCAATTTTCATTGCCTTTCATTTAAAAATAGAACTAGGGCAGAGAATGTTTAGGAAGAGGCACATCATAAACTCAAACAGGAAGGTCGGACCTGTCCTCGTGGTTTACAATCCAGATGCTACAGAGCATGGTGAGATTAATGGGTTGCATCAGGGAACAGAAAACAACCGTAAGTAAATAATGAAGATGTTAAAGGACTTATATTCTGCTCACAGCCAGGTAAGAGCAAGTAGACAGTGGAGACCCTTGGCCAAGCTTCTAACAGGCCAGATGAGCATGGTGGAGCTGGGGATTCTTGAACTGTCTGCATGTTCCTTTGTTAGGAGCAGGCTGGGAGCTAAGAAATGACTTAGGTACTTGGAAAAAGGTCCTTTGGCAAGAAACATGAACTTCAAGTCAGTTTAAAAGGTGGCAGCTCCTTGGGAGGGGTTGGGTCCCCCCCCCAACTGCCCAGACCCAGGGAGCTGCCCAATGGAGAGTGGACTGTGAGGCCAGTTGGCAGGAGCACTGATTGGGGGAGAGAGTGGGACACCTGCCTTGCCCCTGGCCCCAGGTCAAAACCAGAAAGCTTTCTTTTTTGGGGAATAATGGATAGAGTCAGATAATTCTGGGGCAAATTCTGGCTTTGCCATTTAAGCTGTTGGGACCATGGGCAAGCATGCAGTATAGTGCCTGACACCCAGCAAGCACTCAATAGATGGTAGTTACCATGTTAATGAACTCCCTGTGTGACTACTTGTACAGAATTTGTAGAAGCAGAAGTTGCACCATGGAAAGAGAAGAAAAGGAGTCTCCCCAGAGTTCAGTCTTCAAAAAGAATCAGCCATCCTGTGTTTAACAGGCCTGCTCCACTGCTTAAGGTTTAATTGATGTCAGGTCACATCTTGGGTTTAAATTTCAAGGAAAGAGACTGGGGCAGATGAGGCCTCGCACCCAGAGACTCTCATCTCCACCCAGGGCTCAGCAGTGTCTCCCAGCCCTCAAAGCTGGGGCTGGGGCTGTAACTTTGCACCCCCTCGTTCCTTACATTACATCAGCGGTGTGGCTGTCTGTGGGACTTTTCCCTCCACAGCTTTCAGGTGTACCTTTCAGGCACACATTCATTCATTCAACAGAGTTTGACCCAGGGCTTGTTGTATGCTGGGCACTTGGGATACAGAGATGCTGAAAACACAGTTCCCTGCTCTTTGATACTCACAACCTGGTGGGAAAACAAAGGTGTACTAAACCCCAATTTGAAGCCAGCCCAAGGTGCTTTGGAGAAGGATGCTAGCCATCACTGTCCAATCTGGGGAGACAGGAGGAGCTGGTCACGGGGGAGGTGGTTGCCCGGCTAGTGTGGAAGCCCTGGGGATGCAGTCCACAGCAGGAGGAGCTGGAGGGCCGCCAGGCTGGGCTCTGTGAGAGCAGCAGACTGGAGCTGTCTGGGGGAGGGGAGGGGGTGATTGGCTCTCTGGTGTGCCCAGGGTGGTGGGAGGGGATGAAGTATAGCGCCCCAGGCAGGGCTCTGCTGAGGCAGGGCTCCCCTGGACTGTACACACCTGTACCCTCTAGGGGCCCCAGGCCAGCTGTTGTCTGGGGGGCTGTTCACAGACCATTGTTAGGGTCTGGAGTCCAGCCATCACATGAGCCTTGCAGAGTAGTGGCGATCACCGTGCTGGTGCTGGCCCTGCCTGTACAAAGAAGTATGGCTGTTTGCAGAATGTTTTCACATTGCCATTCTATTGTGTTCACCACAGTACATGAGAATGACGGTGGGTGGTGGATGGGGGAGCTATGTATGTAGGTTTATATGTATGAAACCAGAGAAATGAAGTGACTCAGCAGAACACCATAGAGCAGAGAACGGAGGCCTCCAGGAGCTGTCTGCCCATGGCACTCCCCACTGAGAAGGGACAGATTTTAGGTGGTATTGTCTGCTTCCCTTTCCCCCATCCCCCAGCTGTGTTCTTTTCTATTTGGGCACAGCTCACCTAGAAAATGCTGCTAAAAATATGAGTGATATCCTTAGGTATATTATTCATTTTGCTTTTGAAAAACCTAGTCATTTACTGTTCCCATTTCTCTGTAGCCTGCAGGAGAGGAAAGCTGGTTGCTCTGGCAGGTGACAACTTTTGCAACAGGAGCTGGAGAGCTGGGAGGTGTAGCTGTTCCCTGAGCAGAATTCCAGTGCCTTGGCAGTGTCCGTTATCATTAAGGATTAGGGGTCCTTGTCAATGCATGGCAACTATTTGGCCCTGGGATAAACATCTCTCCTGGTGGGTTCATTTCTTTAGGCTTCCCGGAGTTCCCTCCCTGTTGCATCTATTTGGAAGACCACTCTCCCTGGCATGCCTGATTTGGGAAGACACACATGCATCAGTGAGGTGCTACAGGAGCAACATGGGTGGGGCAGGGGTAGAGGTGGGTCCTCGGGGGCTGGGAGTGACCCAGGGTGGACCTGCTGGGATAACTGGTCCATGGAGCGAGCTGGCAAAGCAGGCAGGCCTGCCCTCCGGGTCTGATGCTGGGAGTAACGGAATGCTTTCACTCCCAGTGGATCCCACCTGGGATTCTGCAGTTCTCAGGTTGTGAAAGACACAGGGGGCACCCGAAAAGCTTTAGCGGGATCTCCTGAAGCTGGGAGGCCTGTGTCTCCCAGAGTCCCTCATCAAGAATGGTGCCGCCCCCCGCCCCGACCTCAATAGCTACACCCACCATGGGCTGTAAGGAGCACCTCCTGGGACTTGAAGAATCCCAGGGCCTCCCTCCAGACCTATCAGCAGAGGAGAAAAAAAGGCCAGTTGATGTTCCTCTAGCACTTTAAACTTTAAAACATCACCTTCTCTTCTGGCCCCAGTTTCCTTATGAAATGTAAATTCTGAGGCACTCTCTCACTCTGGACAAGGTCAGCACTTCCAATCACGATCATCACGCCCTGCCTCCTGTCTGCTGGTCTAGGCCCCAGCACGGTGCAGGCGGAGCGAGCTAAGCCAGGTGGTAGGCCGGCCTTCCCCTCCGGGCTCTGCCACTTAGGGCTGCGGGTTTGGGAGAAAGCTCCTCCGTGGTTTCCTATTTTATTTCCCATCTATAAAGTAGGATAATAAATAATAACTGTATAACCCAGTTGGCACATGGTTATTGGAGGCGCTCATGAGATTATATTTGGGGAAGGCACTTTGTGAGAAGAGAAGTAATGTGTAGGTAAGGGGCATTATTATTAGAGCGAGCTGACAACTGGAATCTAGCCCAGAGCAGTGGGCAGCTGCTGCTTCCCCTGTGGTTAAGTGGCCTTTTGTGGGGTCTCTGGCTTGACCAGACAGGGTCAAATTCTGAGGAGGAGGGGCAGTAGCGGTGCAGTATCTTCGGCCATGGCCCCAGCCCCTGAGTAGGGTGGGCTTTCCCAAAACGGTCAGCTCGGGCAGCTGTGGTTCTGCCCCGTCCACTGCTGTCTCCTGCCAAAGATCCCCCTCCTAAAAGCTGCTGCTGACACCCCTTCTCCTGCAGGGAAAGGCTCTGCGCCTCCTGCACCCCGACCCTCAGTCCTAAGCGCTGGGGGCATCGGTGGGCCTGGGTAGCCCTGCCCTGGTGAGCATGAGGCGCTAACTGCTGAGCTGGGGCTTCCGAGAATCCTCCAGTGGGACCGGCTGGGCCGGCCGCCGGGGGCGTTGGGGTGACCTCCTCGCGGGCGTTGTGCTACCAGACCGGCCCCGCCTGACTCTCTTCTGCCGCGCGGCAGGCGCCGCCCTCGCAGCCCTGCTTTTTCCGCCAGGCAGGCTGTGGGCGAGTTAGACCTCCCAGCCTCACGGGGCTGCTGTGCGGCTGCGGCGACGCGGGCGACTGCGGCGCTGCGGAGGAGACGCGGCTCGGGAGGCGGCGCCACGTGAGTCCCGGGCCCGGCGGTTGGGGCCGCGGCGGGAGATTACCGTATTTACCGAGGCCCGAGCCGGACCCTTGGGGGCGGGTCACTGCGGGCGCGCTACCGTATTTGCGGGGAGCCGCGCAGACCCCTTTCTGGAATGGGGAGCGCCGCGACCTAATTACGTATTTATCCAGGATTGTGTGGTTCCCCAGGGGCGCTGCGGGGGCGGGGTGGGTTGCGTTCGTTCTCTAAGGGACCCGGGCTTGCGGCGGGGTGGGGTGGATTGCGACAGCGGGGGGAGGCCTACGTATTTTCGTGGGGGTGAGGTTGCGACACAGAGTTTACCATATTTCTCCAGGGTCTCTCCAGCCCCAGCAGTTGGCGAGGCTGTGCGCGGGGGTCGGGTGGGTGGGGTCAGCTCTTTTGATGAATGCAGGTATTTGATCAGAACAGTGGTGCGGGAGGGGGGCCGTCTTTATGGGGCAAAGGAGAAGGGGCGCGCGAGTTGCTGCGGGAGAGTTACCGTATTTGCGTTGGGCAGCGCGGGCCCTAGAGGACAGAGTCACTGCTGGGGACCGGAGGAACAGGGGCTGTGAGTGAGGGATGGGATGGAGGGACTTGGGAGGGAGGAGGGGGGCATGACTGTGGACCCTCTCCGCATGCGGGGCCTTGGTCAGGGCATAGCTGGGGAGAGTGGGGTGGGGAGGCTGCCCAGGGACAAGGCCAGGCTGAGATTGGCCGCAGGGACTGTGATGATCTCTCTTTGCAAATAATGCAGCTGCCTGGAGGAAGACTTGTGGGTGGGGACTATTGCAAGTAGTACTTGTCCCCTTTCCCAGGATGAGTGTGTGTTCCACCCCGGCCTGAGAGTAGAGCAAACCGGGTGGGTAGCTCTGCGACCCCACTCTGCAGATAGATGGGCTGAGGTAGTGGTAAGCAGTGAGATCTGCAGTGTGGGGCCTGCACGGAGGTCCCTGGGCATGGCCAGCAAGCATCCCCATGAGATGGGGGACTGCAGGGTAGCAGCCAGCTCAGCCATTCGGGAGCAGGCCTCAGTGTCTGCAGGAGGAGCTCAAGGATTGTTTGGTGGCAGCAGACAGTGCCCTACAGGAGCAGTGGCCCTTTGGGTGTCGATGGCTCTGCTGTGACAAGACTGTGATGGTCTTGTGTGTGTGTGTGTGTGTGTTTTGAGGGGAGTTGAGTTAGTGAGCAGCTAGTATATTGAGAAGAGCTTTCGACTGACTCAGGAAACTTAGGGCTTACTCCTGGCTAACCTTGCTGTGCGACCTTGGGCAAGTAAATTGACCTCAACTGAGCCTGTTTCCCCATCTATAAAGTGGGCGTCAGTAAGCCCTGCCCTTTTTCAGGGCTGCTGGGAGGACAATGGGAAACAATTTAAGAGGAGCACAGTGCCCTGGGGAAGAGGATCCTTAGAGCCAGTGTAGAGGTGCCTGAGCTGCACTTGGAGGAGTTTGTTGAGCCCTGGGCCAGGTTTTGCTGCGGGGATGCCAAGGGAATCAAGCTGAGACCAGGGCCCTGGAGCTCACACTCTGGCGCAGTGACTTGCAGACCTTTCGCAGGCTTGCCTCATTTTGATAAACAAAGAGCTGCTGCCTTTAATGTTTAACTGAGGTCACTTTCAAGTTTATGGGGGTTTTGTTTTATTTCCTCTTTTAAGCTTTGCAAAAATATCTTTAAACCACCCATGACCCCACCCTTCCCTCCAGACTGGAAACACACCTCCCTACCCCAGTCCTTGAGAATCTGGTTGGAGAGATAAGACATATCCAGGTGCAGGATAACTTACAATGCTAGGAGCCCCTGAATATTACCCATCAGCCCTTATTCACTGCCTTGAGTGGCAGGAACAGTGCTTGGTGCAGGGACAAAAGCAGGAGGCAGTTCTGTCTGTAAGGTGCACACGTGGCAGGGAGACCTAGGTGGTGTGACTGACCCACAGGCAGTATGATGAGTGAGGGTCATGGGGTTGGTCCATGCTGCTCAGGAGTGGTCAGGGAAGGCTTCTAGGAGGTGGCACTTGAGAAGGGCTTTAAGGAGGGTCAGGATGTGATTGGAGGTAGAGAAAGAAGGGCATTCCAGCAAGGGAACACTGGCTTGAACCAAACTGTAGGGTGCAGATGCTGGAAGTTGTGGGAGGTCAGTGGAACCGCGCCCCCACCCCGGGGCTGGGGCTGGCTAATCCTTGGGTTCCCCTGCCCCCTGACTCCTTTCTCTGCTTCTGGCTCCCCAGGGGCTGGTGATTGCAGCTGGAAGTGTCCATGACCGAACTGGCGTCCTCCGGGGGAGGGTCCCCTGCGGGGGACGGGGAGGAGGGTCTGGGGGACGAGCGAGGCCTGGTCATCCACCACCCTGCGGAAGAGCAGCCCCACCGTTGCCCGCTGTGCGGCCAGACCTTCTCGCAGCAGCCCAGCCTGGTGCGGCATCAGAAGGCGCACGCTGGGGCTGGCCGCGCGGCTGCCTTCGTGTGTCCTGAGTGCGGCAAGGCCTTCAGCGTCAAGCACAACCTCGAGGTGCACCAGCGCACCCACACCGGCGAGCGACCCTTCCCCTGCCCAGAGTGCGGGCGCTGCTTCAGTCTCAAGCAGAACCTGCTCACGCACCAGCGCATCCACAGCGGCGAGAAGCCACACCAGTGCGCGCAGTGCGGCCGCTGCTTCCGCGAGCCGCGCTTCCTGCTCAACCACCAGCGCACCCACGCACGCATGCCCGCGCCGCACCCGCGCCGCCCTGGCGTCTTCGGGGAGCGGCGGCCCTACTTCTGTGCCCGCTGCGGCAAGAGCTTCGCGCGCGAGGGCTCCCTCAAGACCCACCAGCGCAGCCATGGCCACGCGCCCGAGGGCCAGGCGGCCCATTTAGGCCGCGTGCTATGATGCGCGTCGGGCCTGCTGCTTGTTTCCTGCCCCAGAGCCTTGTCTGTGACCCCTGGAGATGGCTCTGGGAGGCGGTTCCCACTCTGGATGGGACCCCGGGAGACAGGGAGGGCTGGCTTGGGAACTTGAAGAAACGGGCCCCAAAGCTGCGGGGGCCACCTCCTGCCCCTCCGCCAGGCCCTCCCTGCTGGCTGCACACAGCTGCTTTGGGCCTCTGCACCGGTTTCCCTCCTTAGGCTTTCCCCGCCCAGAGCAGGTGAGACCCGAGGGCCGGCCAGAGACCCTCTCAGGTCTGGGGTGGGGGGGGGACGGTGGTTCTTGATGTCTTGTGGGGAGAGGTGGGGGAGGTTGGGCGTGGTGGGCCCCTAGGTCTCTCTGAGACTGGCTTCTTCCTGGATCTTCATTCCTAGCATGTCAGAGTGGAAAGCGACCTGAGATGGCTGCTCTACACAACCCCCAGGCCCGCCCCCAAGTTCTCCTGGCCCCAGCCCTTACTATCTGGTGTCCTTGAGAAGTTTCACTCCATGGCTCGGTTTACTCTTCTGTAAGTTGGGGCTAAAGGTGAGGGCTTCCCCTCCCTGGTGTATCATGAGGATCAGAGTTACCATCATTAGTTCAGAGAGGTAGATGTCACTGGTCCAGAACCTTTACTGAGCACGGTGTGCCAGGCACTGTGTTGGGCCTGGCTCTGGGAGGAGGCGTAGACACAAGGCCCCCTACCCCCTGAGGCTCCACGTGTGGTGCTTACACAGGTAATGCAGGCTGGTGTAGGGGACACACTATAAAGTGCTGGGGTTAGGGATAACTGGTTTGAAGGCTTGAACTGGTCCTGGGGACGAATAGAGATGCTCTAGGAAAAGTGGGGCTGTGGAAGGAGGTTTCCGCAGTGGGGGTACAACAGTGGAGGCTCATGTCCACCAGACGAAGGCTCTCATGGCTGGGGAGAGGAGACACGCAGATGTGAAATGAGAGCAGCGTGGTGATCTCCAGTACACAGTTTGAGGATTGGAGGCACTGTGGGGACAAATGCGAGTGGACCAGCAGGAGCCTCCAGGGTTTGGGGTCACCTGGGCAAAAGAAAATGAGGCCTCCAGCTAAGAGGCTTGCCCAGGGTCGTGCAGTGAGAAAGGAGAGAGCCAGGACTTGCCCCCTAGGCCTCTGATTCCACACTGGCACTCAGGCACGGCTTCTTCAGCCCTTGGCAGGCGAGAAACTGAGGCTTGCCCACGCTTGCCCCACTCACACTTCATATTCAGTGGCACATCGGTGTAAGCCTGGACCCCAAGCCCCTCATCTCTACCACACCATCCTGCTGGTGGGAAATAGCACACCAAAGATGCAGCCATGTGACAAGGGACCATGTGGTAGGAGCCTAGGCAGGCTGTCACTGGGTGATGTGGGTGCCTGAAGGAGACAGGCACCCACCATGGTGAGCTGGGAGGAAGAAAGCTGGAGGCTTGAGGAGGACCTGCAACCACAGAGCCCTTGCTTGGCACCCAGTCCTGTGCCAGGTGCTGGAGACCCGTCCCTGCCCTCTGCCCCTCATTAGAGCTCCATGGCTCCTTGGGGATGCATTGTCCTCTGTCTGCTGCCCCTAGGTGGCTCAGGGAACTGCTGTGATGTGTGGACCAGTATTTAGTGACAGAGATTGAGATTAAACCAGGACCTGGGACATTTTAAACCAACCACCAAAGTGCCCTGAACCAGGTTGTCAATGGGATTAGGAACCCGGAGTGCTTGGTGGCGGGTCAGAGGACCAGCTCACAGCCCTGGGCAGATGCACAGTGGCCTCGCCACTGCTCTCTCCTGGCCCCAGGGGGGTGGCTGGGCAGGGCCATCTCATAGCCCCAGGCCTGACCCTGGTCTCTTTGTGAACAGATGCAGAGTAGGCAGGACCTCTGGGCAGTGTGCAAGGCACATTTGGGCACAGAAACCAGAAATGGGGGCCCATGGGGCCTGTGCCCCCCTGGAGGACACATCTCCTAAGAAGACCTACCTCGGGAGGTGACCTGCAGTGACGGCAGAGGGGACCAACGGAGCTGAGAACTGGAGGCAGGTTCTGTGCCCTTGTGGAAAAATGTCCCGAACCTGTTGGGAGTCACAGCCAGAGAGGAGCTCACCCTGGCTGCCAGGCTGCAACCCACTCTCATGTGGCAGCAGGGACAGTGCCTGTGTGGAGAGCATGTTCTCAGCTCCCGCCTGGCCCACCAGAGATGGGCAGTGACTGGCCTGCGAGAACACAGCAAGTCGGTAGCAGACCTGGCTTGGAGGCAAAGCCTCTCTCCGGGTGTGAGCTGTACGTGCAAGCATCACTTCCCTTTCAGAGCAATGGCTCTTCACACTTCTGGGGGCATGAAGCCCTTTGAAAATCTGACACATGTTTTGAGCCTTCTCCCCAGGAAAACACACATCTTCATGTAGATGCAAGAATATATAAGCAATTTCAGAGCTCCTGGACTTCAGACTGAGAACCTCAGCCCGGGAGCTAACCCGCCACTCTTTCCCTACCTGCTGCCAAACCGTGGGTCAGGGAGGCCATATAAGCAGCATTTCTTCTTCCCCCTGCAGACCCTCCTAACCTTGTTGGGGAATAAAGAGTTCTGAGAAGGGGACCCTTTTAGTCTCTCTCTCTTCTCCCATACCCAACAATGCACCAGGCTTCTGGAGCCTCCCTTCCCTTCCCTTCCCTTCCCCAGACGTTGCTGGAGGTCCTCTGGGCTGGCTTTGCTCTTCTCTGCTTCGGGGTGGCCTTCTCTGGCTGCTGCTCGCCATGCAGCCCCGGGCTCCCTGGCCTGGCCTCTTACTTCACTGTGAGGGTGGTGGGGAAAGCCGAAACTTCCTGGACTCTGGGTGGGAGCACGAGCCCTGGCCCAGTCTAGCCCTGGGAGAAGGGATCCTGCCTCCAGCAACCAAGCCCAGGTGGAGCTGCCTGCTGCCAGGCCCTGCCTTCAGCCTCAGCCAGTGTGATGGGTGAAGGCTGGGGAGGAAGGCAGAGCCTGGGTCCGGGTGCCTGCCGGCTCCAGGCAGGGAGGGTCTGGCAGAGAAGCATCTGTGCTCCGCATGTGCAGTGAAGCAAGCGGAGAGGCTGATGCCTGGCCGGCAGGGTGAGAACCCCAGCGTCATTGCTGAGCAGGCTGGCCCGGAGCTCTGGCTACCCAGAACGAACGGCCACCCATCAGAAAAGTTGTGGCCGGCTGCTGCTAGGATGGGCTTAGATGACAACTAGACTTCATGGAGCTGGTTGTATTTAGTGAAACCCTTGGGTGTGGGAAGAGTCCTTTAGTCATGGAATTCCGATAGAATCGCAGTGATGTGGGTCTGGGGCGTGGCAGGGGGTATCTAGGTGGGAGGTCTCAGGGCTGCACTGGGGTTTTCAGGGCTGTTGGGGGCCTTAGGGTTTCTTGCCTGGAATCTTCTTGGGGTCCTGTCCTCCGTGCAGTTTGGCACCTAGGCTCTTATGGACCATCTGCCACGTGCCTGGTCCTGGGACAGCGGACGACTCTGGGGGAGTCAGAGGAAGAGGGGGCGCTCTGCCTCCAGGAACCCCCTGCGTTCGGACCCTTGGCCCGCCTGGAGGGGAGCTCGCAGACACGCTCCTTCCTTTCTCTGCCCCCCAGTAACTGACGGGTTGCTGTCTCTGCACCCCCGCCCTTCTCCCCCAGGCCTGCTTTCTCTGACCTCGTCCTCCTCTGAACAGTCCCTGGGTTGACCTACCATCTTACCCCAGGGTGTCATGCGAAGTCTTCAGTTTTCTGTGTGAGTGTGTGTGTGTGTTGAATCTCCAACGAGACTGTGAGCTCCCTAAGGGCAAGGGATGTGTCATTTCTTCCTCAACCCCAACAGGGTCTAACAGAGAGAGGACTGGGCTCATAGCACTCAGGAAACCCTTGTCAACTTGTGGGTGGCTGATGACGGAGGTATGAAAGGGGAGAGGTGCGTGAGTTCACTAGTGGGTGCCTTTTAGTGGGCTGTGGCCTGGCTCCCCTGAGGCAGTGATGGTTGTAGGAGGCCTCAGGTCCTCCCCTACTCGGGGCAGTAGGACAAGAAGGCGTGTGTGAATCCGGGCTGGGTGTTTCAGTAGGTCGCTGACACCTGCTAAAGCACCGAGTGGAATAAATGTTTCTCAACATCAGCTGGTATGAGGAGTGGTCATTTGGGGCCAGGAACAGCGTAACATGGTGGCCAAAGGCTAGAGAAAGCATAACTCGAAAGCCACAGCAATGAGTTAGCTTAGGTTGACCCCCACCCCACCAATCTGGATAATTAGTGCTATTTGGGTTTGGGTAATGGATTTTGGGGCACCGTAAAGTAGCCCCACCTCCTTACTCGGCACGCAGTGAGGTCAGACCTGCTGAGAACCTTCGAGGTGATTCCCATCAGTGCCTGAGAGGCGGCCGCCAAGAGTGCTTGAGTCAGAAGACCATCATGTTCCAATGCCAGCTGGTCATCTCCCCCGGGAGGCCTTGGCGTCAGTGACATGGGGCAGGTGAGTCCTGCAGCTTTGACATCATGGAGGTGTGAGAGCCGTGGAGTACACTATGTAAACTTCTAGGCGCAGCCCAGAGGCAGGGGTTCACCACCATGGTCTCCCTCTGCTGAGGGTGGAAGCTGATCATTTCACAGCCCGCGAGTCTTCTGTGGCAGAAAGCTCTGGAGAGCAGAGTTACATATGTCAGGCCTGCCACCGGATGGCTGGACTCAATTTCCTCCTGTGTTTGGTAAGGGGCTGGGCCAGCTCGTGGCCGAGGCTCCCTGCAGAACCTTCCTTCTGTGCCTCGCTCTTGCACTCAGATTTGGGGCTGTGTCCACTGTCTCTAATGGCCAACGAGGGTCCTGAGTAGCAGTGACTCCAGGACAGGGCCTCTGAAACCTAGCTCTGTTGGGGTGAATCGGGTGCGTGACTTTCACCAGTCCTACCACTGCCAATGATGGCTGACACAGTGGGGTCGGTGGGGGACGGGAGGGGACACAGCTCTGGAGTACAGTGCTCAGAGCTCCCTAAGGGATCAGACAATGCTGGGCTCTGGCTGACACCATCACTGGCTCCTTTCCCTGCCCATTCATGCTTCCCATCTGCCCCCTTTCCCAGAGAGCACTTCCTAACAGTTCTTGTTCCCCTTGAACGAAATCCTTGTCTCAGGCTCTGCCTCTAGGGACCCTGACCTAAGGCAATGTCTCTGAGGAAAACATGCTCAAAGCATCTTGCACATATAAAATATCATGACTGATATTTTATTTAGTTCTGCGTGGTGCTGATTACTTGAAGCCTTCGGTGAAGAACTGCCAGTGGACTAATGGCTTGGTGGTGGCCTTTTCCTCATGAGAGGCCAGACCAGAGGACCCCAGTGCTGGTGGGACAGCCCCATACCAGTTGCACTAAGGCTCCTGTCAACTGGAGACAAGGCATAAGAACCTAGTTTAGGGATCAAGGGCTGGGGTCTAGTCCGACTGTCTGTCTTTGGCCAAGATCCTTACAATTTCGAGCCCTGGCTTTCCTATCCATGGCATAAGCTGTATAGGCTAGCTGCCCTCTGAAGTCTGCCTCCAGTCTGAAATTCTGCAGTTGAATCTCAAGTGCATATGTGGGCTCTGTTGCGTGGCAAGGGGCAGAGACCACTTAGGCCAGTGTGCTGGGTTGCAAGGCCTTGTGAGTTGGAGCAAGCCCGCAGGAGGGCATCCCTCCTCCTCTGGCCCCTACAAGCTTCTGTGACTCAGCCTTCCTCCTCCCTACGGCTGCAGCCACCTCTGTTCTGTAGCAGATACTCTTGAAACTGGAACTGAATTTTTTTTCTTGAGGCAAGAAAACTGTAGTTTTTACTAGCAGACAGAAAGTCACCTTGGAACAGACCTCCTTTGTTTCTGGAAGGTCATCAGGCGCTTTGGGTGAAACCCATGTAAAACAAATACCACTGCCGTTCCCCAACCAGCCTTGGACTTGGGTAGCATTTCAAATGCAGATGCTTCAGACCAGCTTGTTAGATCTTGTGTTTCATAATCACCATTAAAAAAAAAACGTTGTTAGGAAGAGCATGTGGGACAGGGGCCACTGAGACATGGAAAGGACCTGAAATTCTCTCATTGGTGAAAGACTGAGCTGGTCCCTCCCCTGATACATGGCTACCTGCTAGGGGAAAAGCAGTGTTCCCCTGATATTAGGGCTGAAGTGTGGGGGTTCAAGAGAGATTTTGTTAACAGGAAAAGTATGAACTGCATCCAGGAGTGGGGCAACGACTTCCAGGGCAGATGGCATGATGGTGTGTGTGGGGACCTGAGATGGGGGAGAGGCGCTGGCTGGAAGACGGAGGGGACAGGCAGCCCCCAGCACATGCAAGCACTCCCAGAAGTTACCGGGGGTATGTGATGTGGGGGGAAGATGGCCACGAGGAGTTCTAGGGATTGGCGAGGACTCAGTCTGTCCTTGAACCCAGGAAGCAGTGTATTCCAGGCTGGGGAGGCAGAGTACACTGGCCCTGGCCTTCCCATCTTGTGTTTGCTTGTGGTACCAGCCACCCTGGGGCCAGTGCTCCTTTCTGCCACCCCTCTCGCTTCCTTGCCCCCTGCTCTGTGCACCCCTCTCTTTGTTGTCTCACATGCAGAATCCCTAAGGCAGAGTTTGGTGTGGCCCGCCACCATCCCTTTAGGGGGTCCCTTAGACTGAGTCCATTCTCCCAGCACTGCTGATGTTGCTGGTGAGGCTCAAAGTGGTGCCCAGGGTACAGCACATGTTCGGTGAGAGCTACGCCAGGGTGACAAGGCCAAAGTGTGTTCCTGGGTACTGAGGAGGGAATGGCTGAGCGCACTCCTGGGAGCAGGCAGGCCAGGGACAGGCCTGGGGCTGTCCGGCCAGTGCTCTGGGCTCCTCCTAACTTTTACTGGTAAACCTCTCCTTTGGTAGATCATCCTGTATGCCTTGCGCCCTCTTTGATGCAGTTTTTTCTTAAGATTTAACTACTCATAGTTTGGCTTGATTTCCAGTCAATGACAGATGGAGTTTGCACATGGCTTGATGGTTCACTTCCATAAGCATAAGCCCCTGGGAGATTTGCGTGAAATGTCAGAGGTGTGGGACCAAGGAGTCTGACTCTGGGGGTTCCGGGGAGCATTCAGGGCCTAGTGCACGAATGCTGGTTTTGATGGGATTCACCCTCTAGGGACAGTGCTGGAGTTGGAACAAAATACTGCTTTGGAGCTTCTTTCTGTTCCTAATTGCTTCCCCTGGTTGGTATATATTTCTAGTGACTTCGCCCTAATGCCTGGAGAGTATCATACAATTGAACTGTTTTCTTGGCTATCCATGGAGTATATTTAGGAAATCTTACCATATGAGAAAATCAAGAAACAGAGCCAGTGAATACAAGTTCCATTTATTAGACAACTCTCAAAAAAACCAAATATCACTGATAGATTATATTCTTTGCACACAATGCAATAAAATTAAAAATACTTAATAAAAAGATAAAAGCTTCAATTTCAGGGATTTAAAAATACACTTATTAATAATTCACAGAGAAGAAATCATAATGGTAGTGATAAAATATTTATGAATGAACATTATGAAAACACTACATTTCAAAACTTGTGCCATACAATTGAAATAGTAATTAGCGGAA